TAGCATTCCCCCCACACAGTCAAGCTGAATGTCAGGTGTAAGCTGGCCACATTTCCTAATTAGGGAGCCACGGGTCTCTGCTTCCCTAGCTCACTAGCAAACTATATTAAATGTGACCATCCGCAGGTCACTTTGAATAAACTCTTGAGAAATTTAGTGTGTGTGGGGGGGAAAATGTAATCAGTTTATAACCCTTACCCACTTAGGGTAAAAACACCCAAGAGGGTCTAGTGGGTAGCATGTGGGTTGATATATGCCAACAATTTTTTTTAATTAATCCCCCCACCCCACCCCCCACCCCTGAGACAAGGGTTTCTTTGTATTGCTTTGGAGCGTGTCCTGGAACAAGCTCTGCAGACCAGGCTGGTCTTGAACTCACAGAGATCCACCTGCCTCTGCCTCCCACATGCTGGGATTAAAGGCATGCACCACCAACATCCAGCTGATATATGCCAACGATTTATGGTAGCACTCAGTACAAACTAAACCTTCAATAAACAATGAATAATTATTATGATAGCAACAGGTAAATCCCATCAACTGACTATGTATATACAAGGTGGGCAATGATAAGGAAGGAATGTGTGTGATTAGTGATGGGAAGATGGTTATAAAAGAAAGAAAATTTGAGTTGATTTCTAAAGATAAAAGAGAAAGGAAAGAAAAAGCTGTGTTAAGAAGCAGAGGTGAGGGGGCCGGATGGAGACAACTCAACTCTATCCTTCAGTATATTGTCTCCTCTGTTAGTTTTCTAAGAGTATTTCCAAGATTTAATTTCTCTATTATTATATCTGGTGCTGGGTTTTCACATAGACTATTCAAGCAGCCTGCTGCTAAGCTAACATTGTCCCTAGCTTTTAATTAGTAGTTTAAATGTATTAATTTTTATTTTCTGTGTACCACCTGCATGTATGTAATTGTACTGTGCATGTATCTGGTGCCTGTGGAAGCCAGAAGAGGGGATCAAGCCTTCGGAGACTGCAGTTATGGATGGTTGCAAGCTACCATAGAGGTTCTGGGAACCTAACCTGGCTTCTCTGCAACAGTAGATAGTGCCCTTAACCATCTCTTCAGCCCCCTTAGTCAATATTCTAAAATGAGTAATAATGACTACATGTATTTATGGGGCACACACACACACAATCATGGAATGGGTAAAATCAATCCAAATAACATATTCTGAACCTCAGTTACCTATCATTTTTTAGGATGAGACATTTGATATTTTTCTACTTTGAAACATACATCATTTTTGTCACTTCAGTTACCTTATAATTATTATCTCATGTTTATTCTTGCCATCTATCTGAAATTCTGTCCTCTTTATTACAAATTACATTGATTTTGTTTGTGCCTGTGGGTAGCACGGCACACGAGGAAGTCAGAGGGCAACTTTGGGAGCCAGTCATCTCTTTCCACTATGTGGGTCCCAGGAATCAAACTCAGATCATCAGCTGGCTTTACACTCTGAGCTATCTTGTCAGCCCTGAAACTCTGTGGTCCCATTAACAACTCCCCATTCCCTCCCACTCCATACCCTGGCTAACTATCATTCTACTTCTATGACATCATGCAGTATTTGTCATTCTGAGCTTGGCTTATTTCCCTTAGCATAATGTCTTCTTGGTTAATTCATGTCCCAAATGACAGGATTCCCTGCCTTTTTGAAGCCAAATAGCATCCCTATATAACATTGAACTGCACATTTGAACTACACATATGAACTACATTTTATTTAACTCTTCACTCATTAACAGATAAAGGCTGATTCTATAGCTTAACTGTTGTGAATAATTCTGGGATCATGTGGCCATGCTACATGCTACCTCTTAAATACAGGGCTACTAGTATGACTACCTCACTCTAAGTGATGAACAGGTGGCTAATGTTAGGAAAGGAGGTTGAGATGGTCTATGTGTGTCCAGAATTAGAAAGACCTTAAAATTTTGGCAGAAGACTGTGTGTTTTAGAGTAGGCCATGGACAGCTACTCTGGTATACAGACTCTGGAACTAAGGACCAGGGATAAATTAGCATCCAGTGTTTATATCTAGAGAGAGAGGATGTGGGCTGGAATCTAAGCCACTGCTGTATTTATCCTGCTTAGCTCCTCAAAGCTACAATGCTCTTATTTGTAAAATGGAGTTACAATGATGCCTAGCTCAGTCAATGTGCAAATGAGTGTCAAGTGTTGAGCATCTTCCCTCTCACATAGCCAGCATTCTCAACAATGCCCACCATTATTATCCAGGAGGCACAAGGTGGGGCAGTTAAGGTACCTTTCTAGTACTTTCCCACAAATGTTTACTGAGACACCTGGAAGCCCACAGGAGTTAGCATAAACATCTGGTAAGCCAAAATGGTTCCAAGTGACATTATTGCAACTACATTCCCTCTTTAACTCTTATCCTGACAACAGAGCAAGAGTTGAAGAGCTCAAAAGAAAATGCCTAAAATCTAGACAGGAACAAAAGTGACACTGGCAGGCTTAGCAAATGCTACATTGTAGGGACAATTAAGTTAGCAAAGTTTGCCACAATTTACCAAAGATGACAATAGGCAAACATCTTCACTATATGAAAGATTGCTGGAGGGGGTCAAACTTTTTGTGGCACCTTGTCCACTTCACATGGCAACGGTCACATCTGAGCTCCAGAAGGACGGATGCAAAAGCACATTTATCTTTGACCACATAACTGTACAAGTAGCTACCACAGTACTTGTTGGCCAAAATGAATTATTCTAAAGAAAAGGCTGAATTGGCACTGTGAGCTTCAGAGTGGTCAGGCTTACTACTTTTTATGAAAGTATGTCCCTAACATCTAAGCTTTGAGCCAACAAAACTTGTATCACTGCTATAGGTCAGTCTTCAATCAATCCCAAAGCTTAGCCTTATCTGAAGATCCAGACGCCTGGGACACGGAGATTTCAAAGCTTGACAGCTGTTCGGTAGACTTGAGTCATCATTCTTTGTTTAACTGGATATGACTGCCGTGGGTAAAACTAGGAGTTTCAAGATCCAGGCTCTCTAGCCCTGCTTCTGCCCCTCAATGCTCCGTCACAGACAATGTCTATAACTCGGTGAAAGGCTATCCATACTGAGTTTTCTTTAAAGAAATAAAGTATATATAAATGATAGAGAATGAAGGAAACAGGTGTTATTTACTTAGTTTTTGGTGTTCGGAGACAGGGTCTTCCTATGTAGCCCTGGCTGTCCTGGAACTTTCTACATAAATTAGGCTGGGCCCGGACTCATGGACAGTCTCCTGCCTCTGCCTCCAGAGTACTGAGATTGAAGATGTGTACCATCACACTTGGTCATAGATCTGAATTGTTATTATACAGTTAGGATTTTATTTGGGGTGAGAAAAAAAAACATATTTTTACAGGAGTTTTAATTCTGCCAACCTTTTCCTTTCATCAAAATGAACAGGAAATATACCACTTCTTGCCCTTTTCGGTAAGATTAAGTGCCGGAACGTTAGCTTAAGCTGCTGGATACTGGTCGGCAAAAAGAGGTCTGGGGAACAGAGGCCTAAGAGAATGTGTGGACACCGCCTTGAAATCACATATCATAATGGCTAACAGCTCCTCTTCCCAAATTTCTATGTAAACTCAATTGGTAGAATCTAGAGCAATGGTTCTCAGTCTTCCTCTAATACAGTTCTTCATGTTGTGGTGACTGCCAACCATAAATTATTTTCATCTCTACTTCATACCTATAATTTTGGTACTGTTAGGAATCGTAATGTAAATATCTGTGCCTTCCACAACCCCTGTGAAAGGGTCATTTGACCTCCAAAGGGACAATGACCCACAGGTTGAGAAACGCTGATCTAGAGTCTGCAACCATGTATGAGAGTCCTCATGTGGAACAAGGCTGGGATTCACAAATGAAACAACAGCAACCACAAAATGCCTACATGACGGTCATAGACTGAGAGTTCGCTATTAGAAATGATCATTGATAGTATTATCAAAACAAACTAGGCTCACCAGCAACTTCATAACATGAAATAAAAGGGGGGTTACTTAGGTATTGATTGTGCCACTCGTTAATGTTGCAGTGATATACTCTGACACATTGCAGCGATAGAGCAAATCAGAAATAGTGAAAGTTTCTTTCCTTTCTTTTTCTTTCTTTTTTTTTTTTTTTAAAGAAACAAGAATAGCAATCATTTAAAAACCACACCTCTGGATTATTAAACAAGCATTCAAAGTAGCACAAGAGAAAGCAAAGTAGCAAAAGAGAGCAAGTGTCCTTGCAGGACGTATGCTTGTGATAGAAATATTTGTTCTCTGTTCGAAGAATATACAGGTCAGTTAATGAGCAAACCCAATATGCACACAAATGCCTTAGGAGCACAGACATAGCAGTATTTTAAGTGTTTCTGTCTTAGTACATTATTTCAGCATTCCTTCACAACACTGTAAATGGTGTGTGTGTGTGTGTGTGTGTGTGTGTAAGGACACAACTTGGAGGGAAAGATAAAGTGTATTTGTTTCCAACTACTTCTATCTTACATGGAAACAGTGAAGAGAGCCAGCCATGAGCTCTAAATCAAATAAAGTACACGTTATTGTAAAAGTGATCAATACATGACATCCAATAACCAGAGACACTTGGATCTCCCCAGATATCATTCGGAAATAGAAGGACTGAAGCAAAGTTTAGCATGTGTTCTTGACATGGCTCCAAGATTTGAGGAGTTTCCCCAGAACTCTTTAGGGAATTAGAAATCATCAATTATGCTTTCAGATCCAGTAATTCTCATCACCACTGGATTGCAAGATAGACAATGCATTCTTTAATGAGGGAAGGAAAGAAGGGAAAGAGAGCTGGAGGGGAGAGAGAGAGAAAGAGAGAGAGAGAGAGAGAGAGAGAGAGAGAGAGAGAGAGAGAGAGAGAGAGAGGTGTCTCTACAGAAGTTTAGAAAGCCCTTCCCATCGGAACGCAGGCTAACAATTCGGTCTGGGCGCGTCCCCCCAGAGGTCACTTACTGGGCTGGGCCAACTTTGGCTTCTCTCTTGCCGAGCACTTTGGCGGGTTTGGTGTCCTCCACTTCTTGCTGGAGCTCAGTCATCGGGGCCGCGTCCCGGGCGCACCCCAGGACTCGGCTCCCCACTCGGGGTTCCCGGCTCCTGGCCCTCTGGCACTTTAGCCCAGCGCATCCAGGCTGCCGAACTCCGGGTCCGCCAACCTGGACACGTCGGAGACAGCGCGATTGGTCCGAGCCAGGCTGGAAGAGCCCAGAGGGAGGGAAGGGGAGGGTCGAAGCAAAGTGACAGCCCTTTTCCCCAACCCAGGAGGCAGAGGGAGAGCAAATGGAAACCTGTTGAACTCGTCTTTCTGGGAGAGGACGCTAATTGGCCAAGCAGGTGAAACATTTGCCTAACAAGACAACGCAGTAGCCGCCTGCTGCTCTGGGTATTATCTCCCCCACCCGTCTCCCATCCCCGCGGGTAATCTGGGGCGGGGGATGGGGGGCGGGGGTAGACTGGGCAGGAAGTGGACAGCACTGAGTGGTACTGGCTCACACCAGTTCCCTGCAGGCCGGCCCTGTCCCTAGCCGAAATTTATCCTCACCGGGGACAGACTCACCGTGCTAACGATAGAGCCCCTCGGTTTGTCAGGTGGGGACAAAAGTAATAAGTAGTCACCTTGTTAACCCCGTCTGGTTCTTCTGTGGGTAAGAGATGGGAGAGGCGACAAAACAACCATCGAAACCTCCTTAGCAATCTTGGCGGGTGTGGTTTGGCTGAATAATATTCCATTATCATGTATACATCTTCCATAGCAGATGTGCTTTCAGGTGTATGCGGATGGACATTTGGGGGCGCCCCACCTCCCATGGTTCTGAATGATGCTGCTATGAACCTGTGATCAAGTCCCTGCTTCCATTCTTTAGGATGCTTATCTAGATAAAAGTAGACATGGTGGGCCACAGGGTGCTATGTGTTTAACATTGCGCAAAGCCATAGTCGGGCCCGTTTTGATGCTTGAATGGGGTAAAAATTCAGGCATACCCTTACAGCTGAATTAAAGAGCGCTAAAATACTCTCTAGCGTCTCAAATTAGGACTTCAGCGGTATGGCTGTAAGTGAGGCAGGGCTAAGAGAGGTTATAGGGGTGGGGCTTGTGGGTAGAGAACCAGGAGTAAGAAACCTGCTCTGTTTTACTTGCTAAGTTTTAATTACACCAACAAACAGCTAATTGTTTTTTCTTCCAGTAATTGTTTTTTTTTTTTTTAATTTTATAAAAATGGCAAATAGGTAAGAACGTCACACACAAAAATTAACCAGAACCAACGTCTACACAAGTCTGTGAACTTCTCTACGGTCAGAATTGTCATTCGGGCCCGGCAGTGACCTCAGAGCAGGCACTGAGTTCCAGGCCAGCCAGGGCTACACAGAGAAACCCTGACTCGAAAAACAAACAAACAAACAAACAAATTGGCATTCAGGATGGAACCTCTGAACCCTCACCTTCAGTTTTACACTTTCAGTGTCCAATATATTCATGCACTTATCTACCAGCAGAACCAGAAAGATGCAAGGTAGAAATAGAACTAGAAAAACACTCACCTTTATACCTTCTTTTTAAACTCAGGTTCATCCCCTGCATTCAGTCCCTTCTTCATCTCCTAATACTTAGACATTCTTGTTCCCTTTTCATGTTGTACTGTATCCATATGTACATTTGTTTACATATTCACTTATATTATTGGCTAAATTCCATATATGAGAGAGAGCATGTGTTTTCTTCCTTCCTTCCTTTCTTTTTTTCTCTCTTTCTTTCTGAGACTGTTTGACCTTGTGTGGCAGCCCACAGAATTGACTCCATTCCATTTTGACTTAAGGTCATAGAGTTTTTACCTGCCCTTGCTCTTTCAAGGTGAAACAATAAAGATGCCTGACCTAAGCTGCAGACGCACTAGGACGTTTGGCCTAAGGTGTGGATGATGTGTGTCCTGCTTAAACAACAGAGTACCTAACTCAGGGTATGGTTACTTGACGTTTCGGGTGTTGGAGAGGTAATTACTGTTTGTTCTTTGTATCTTGGTAAGGAAGTCTTTTGCCTTCCCCTCTTTTGATTGGGGTATATAGGAGCTTTGAGTAATAAACTTGGGTCTGATCCTAGAATTCACTGGATACCCTCCTGACTCTATCTCTGCCTCTAACCTGTTTTTGTCCTCAATTCACACTCCCCTTCTCAGGTATGAAGCCAGATTAGCTGGAGAGTCCAGACAGATGGCCCCTCAACATGGAGCCCAGATAACCCTGCTTAATATTATACATTTAAAATCCATTTTTCTACAATTTTTAAACTCCATTTTCCTTTAAAACTGAGTAGTATTTCCATACACACACACACACACACACACACACACACACACACACACACTAAATTTTCAGGATCCATTCATCCATTAATGGACAAGGAGGTTGATTTTAATTCTTTGCTACGGTGAATAAAGCAGCAGTAAACATTGGAGTGCAAATGTCTCTGTGGTAGGGTATGATATGGAGTTGTCTGGACATATACCCAGAAGCGAAATAGCTGGGTCCTGTGGTAATTCTATTTCTTTTTTCTTTCTTTTTTTAGAAAGCTCCAAACTGAGTTCTACAATGGCTATATTAATTTGCACGCCCACCAGCTTTTAAAAAAAGGTTCTCTTTTAATGACTATGCAATCAAATTAAGCACAGTGTATGCAATGTAGCATCAGTCAATCAATCAGTCTCATGGGTATACAGAGACAGACGATGTTGCTTTAAATGTGTTTTCAGAGGCTTTGACCTTATGCCAATATGAAATTCATTACTTTCCTTTCTTCAGGCCTCTGAAAACCTGAATTCTTTTCTAATATCAAAGGAGAATTCAAACTCATATTTCTTCCAGTTATTGAAATAACTCTGTTAGAAAACTCTGAATTCATTTTTTTTGGAGGTAGAAGCTTCAAACAGTTCAGAATATTGGTCAAATGTTGACCTTTACTTAGCATTGGTCAGACACACTGCACATATGTCACAAGTTCAAGGGTAGAGTTCAAAGGATGAGTTTGGAAATTTGAGTAGAGGTGTGGTCGTGGTGTGTGCCCAAATGGTTACCCAATTCACAGAACATGGCAGGGTGTATATTTATTAATCAACATGACTATGTATTAACTGGCTTTGCAGGCCAGTATTGTTACTCACAATCTGATGATACCATTTGGAAGGTGCCCATGATTTTTCAAGATAAAAACCAGATGCTCTATAATAATTTACTTATGCCCAGTATTCACTGTCAAAGTATCCCAGAAACACTTATCAGTCCATCCCTGTTTTCGATTACAGTCAGTTATCTGAAGGGGAAAATGGGAAGACTTTGAGAGAGTAAGAAGAAAAGTGTGTAGGAACACTGGAGAGCTTAATTTTAAGACTTAAAGAAAAGTTGGAAGAAGCGAAGTTGAGAAATATTACTGGAGGCTAATCACTTTTAGACACGCTTTATTATGTTAAATGAGAAAGTCTGGTGAACACAACCTTTTCAGCAGAGGGGTGTATCATGGGACATGAAAGCATCTGCTGTGACGTCTTTGAAATAATAAGATATTTGAAATCAATAGAAAGATTTTTGAACCAGTGTTTCCCAAGCCAGGTAATAGTGTATACTGGGACATTTAATCACTCAAGATTTCTCCCTCTAGATGAGTTAAAACCCATGTTTCCAGCCTGTGTTGAAGGGAAAATGGCAGAGTGGCCAAAGGTCCTAGGGCCAGAAGGTAGTTCAAAACCACTAGGATATATCTGGTTCCGTGAGAACAGAAGAGGCGATGCAAAACCTTTCTCATTTCAGTACTCTTTACATTTTCAAAATATTAACTTATTAATTTAATGTTTTAAAGGCAGGGTCTAGAGCCCTGCTCACCTTGAACTCTCACCACATGTGGCTTGTGTGTGGTGCTGAAGATTGAACTCCAGAGCCTTGTGTATGCCAGGCTCAAGTTAAGTACATCTCAGCCCTCATTTCAGTCCTCTTCAAAGATGGAAAAATGATGCCACATGCCATGGTTTAAATAAGTGTTCACTCCAAGCCCACATGTTAAAGAGTATGGTGCCCAGCTCAAGCAGGGCTGTAGAGATGATAAATCTTTAGGATCAGGACTCATGGGATTCAATTTGGTCACAAGAAGATCAGGACCCTGGCTCTTTCTGCTTTTTCTCTTTTGCTTTCCCAGCTACTACAAGGTGAGTAGTTCCCTCTGGCATGCTTTCCTCCACACTGTACTTCCTCCTAGCAATTTCCAAAACGATGGTACAATGGATCATGGACCAGAATCTTCAATACTGTGACCTAAAATGAACCTTTCCTTCTCTGTAACTTGATTATCTCAGATATTTTGTTATAGTAATGGTAAGCTAGTATACAACATAAACAGTAAATTAAAATCTGCTCCATATTTTAAAACACCTGCCTATTGTCTAAATGGTAAATGTTATTGACTACAGCTTGTAAATGGGAAGGCATCCAAGATCATCCAGGTGAGGTCCACACTGGCTTTGGGTTGAATCCAGACTCTTAGTTCTAGTGAGGAGAAGACCAGGTACTTGAACTTAGGTCTTCTGACTCAATGCAAACTGTTTTTCTTATCTTTTAAAATGCACACACACACACATACACACACACACACACACATAATTTTATATAATGTATTTTGATCAAATTCATTGTCTTTCCATCTCATCCAGCTCTTCCCCATCCCCCCACCAACGTTCCCTCCCAACTTCATGTGTTTGTTTGTTTGCTTTGATATGATTTTTGTTTTTTAAAGACCCACTGAGTCTACTTAATGTTGCCAGTATGCATGGGTATAGGACCATTTACTAGACCATGAGACTCTAGGGCTGTACCCCTGAAGAAAACCAATCCTTTCCCAGCAACCATCAATTGCCAATACCTCCTCAACTACTTGAGTCCTCCCCTGGTCTATGCTGGAACTTCCACTGGCTCGATCTTGTACAATACTTGTGCATACAATCACAGCTGCGGTGGATTCATGTGTGTAATTGCCCTTTCATGTCCAGCAAATACTCTCTTGCTGCAGGTGTCCTCTACTCTAGCTCTTAAAATCTCCCTGTCACTTCTTCCACTATGATCCCTGAGCCCTGGGGAAAAGGAATGTAATATAGATATCCCATTCTACTGTAAAAGGAAGCTTCCCTGGTGAGGATGGAGAGATGTACTTATCTATGGGTGTAAAGATAAGAACTTAGGGGACAG